TGCCTTGCAGGGAGCACAGCCAAGCAAGTGTGAAGTGGGGTCAGCGACCAGCCGGATCTAGGAGATCTGTCCTGGGGGGAACGATAGGTTGCTTAGAGTCAGTTTGGCTTGTTTAGACCCGGTGTGTGCTCCGAGAGAGTTCTGCTAAAAGGGTCCGAAAGGGCTGCCTGCTGGGGCTGGCAAACGTGGGTTTGAAATGTCTGTGGTTCTAGTGGCCTCGTGTCTGTGCTAGAGCCAGTCAGGCCCTTGTGCTTTGCCTTCAGATACTGCGTTTCTTAGAGTAGCAAACAAAAGCATGTCAAGGCAAAGCTGCAAGAACCGCATCCTATTTCTGACGCGCTTCTTGGTTGTCCCTAGGAATCAGTGATCTGTTTGCCAGTCCTTGACCGTGCTGATGCAGAGTGCTGCTTTTCAGACCCTCTTTACAGTTTTAAAGTCCTGCAACTTTAACAAGTGGGAGAATCAGCTTTTCTCAGCAACACACGAGCTGCGGAGATGCGTTCAGCTGGTCGTGTTCTATCTCCACGGGATCTGTCAGTCCAACAGCTGTGTGTTTGCTGGCTGGGTCATAAATGAGCCTGTTTTTCTATATCCTGTGGTACTTTATGCATCCAGACTTGGATGGAAATTGGGACTAAGACTATTGCTCACACAGGCAAATCCTGCCTTGCGCATGTTTGTCTCACCTTTGGCTCCTCAGGGGAATGTTCAGTATAAATGGGAATATCACATCTGCGATCTTACAGGAGCTGCAGTTGGGAGATTTGTCCACTTCCACTGCGATGGACAACATCCGCTGGAGCAGGAGCATCACCCTAGGTTAGAGAGAGTCAACACTAGGAGATGCTACCCCTCAGCTTGCAAAGTAAAGCAGTGGAGATGGCACCTAGTTCAGCCTCACGCCTTGCAGTGAGGGACAGAGGGGAAAGTAGCAGGCTAGATTTGGTGTCTCTTGGTGGCTTTTGAATCTGATGCTCTTGGAAGCAGAGCTAATCCCCAGATGGGCCCTTGGGAGGTCTCAGTGGCTGTACTGAGCGTTGGTGGAACAGGACGGGGCAGCCAGGGCTGTGGGCCAAGAGCTTCAGCCTTATAGTACAGGTAAGAGGAGGACGCTCACTGAGCCACTTTGCTACCAGGTGAGGAAGTCTCTTGCTCACCAAGTGTATGTCTACCCCAAAGGAGAACTTCAGGTACATCCTGGCTTCCCTGACCTGACAGGGAGAGACTCTGGCTTCTCCCTGGCTTGGGCCCCATGATACTGCCAGCAGGGAGTCAGGACTTCTGAGGCTTACTTCTGGGCGAAGAAGGCTGGTGGAGCCACCTCTGCCTGGTCAGCACTGGCCAGCCGTGGTGCAGATGAGCTGTGTTCGGCCCTTGCGTCTGCCAAAGAGGATGTCATCTCTTGCGGCTGCTCCTGGGGCTGGGAGAACCCGACTCCTGTAACTGCTGCGACCAACCATTCGACCACGTCCCTGGGACAGAAACAGGAACGTTAGCGGGGACAGACCTGGTTTTGCTGCATTCTGACCTCTAGATCTACTTGGAGCTCAAGGAAAGACCCTGAGGGTGAAGAATACATCCCACCCGCTTGGACAGGCTAAGGAGTAGCTCTGCTGAGCAGCAGATTTATATGCTTGTCGACAGGACCGCCTCCTTCTCAGTCCTGTCCTGAGCAATGCAGATCTGACCTTGTTCCTGGGAAAAGCCCACTAGGTTGCGGCTGGAAATGCCTTGCATCATCTCTGGTGGTTTGCTTTTGTAAACCTGCTCCTGTTCTTTATACTTGGGCTTACACTTCGCTCTGTCTGCCAGGCTTGTTTCCTAGAAAGTCTGAAAGTCTGACCTGGAGTCTTAACAAGTGTTCCCTGAGCCCCTGCCTCTCCGCATCTGGTTACAGAATAGGGGAGGCGGCAGCGTCCCTTACCTGACGTTGTTGAAGCACGTGTCACACGAAAGCACTTTCTTGGCAATTGACTTCTGCAGCAGGCGCAACCTCAGGTTCTGCTGGAAGTCGTCCTCCAGGGTCTGCACCACGTACTGCAGGAAGAGGAGCCGGCCAGGGGGCTTCTCCTGAGGGCAGATGGAGATGGTGTGAGCCTGCTGGAGCTGCAGGGTGAGGAGCACCAGGGAATTTGGCTGTCTTGGGAATGGGCTGCTGTACATGGCTGAGGAGTAGCTCCAGGAGGGGCTGCCTGGCTCAGGTAATGCCCTGGGGGCTCGGCTGGACCTGCTGTACCATTGCACTAGGGCTATGGCCCACAGAGGCTTTGTCTGTTGCTGTGTCTTCAGATGAGACAACTTGCCTACAGCTGTGCCGCAGCTTAGGGAGCACTGTGGATAAAAGCGGGAGACCCAACTGGCATTTGCTGCCCTCAGCAGCTGCAATAAAACTGCATGTTGGACTGGCCCATTCTGCAGCAGAGCACGACCACGAGGCCCCAGGGCAACGCTTACCCTCAGGCACCATGTACTGGATGATCCCTGCCCGATGTGACACATGCGGTGCCAAGTACCTGGTCCTCCATGATGTATTTCAGCAGCGTCCAGTCCCATCCCACCGTGGCAGCATTGGCTGGATGGAGCCTGCAAGGACAGCGCTGTCCGTTTGTGCTGAACTGCCTGACCATCTCTCTGGAGGCACGGCAGCCCCTGGCCCCACTCGCTCAGGGGCCTGCCCTGCCTTCTCCTCTCCAGCTTCACCCTCTCCCTTTCTCTTCCCCTGACCACGTTAATTTTTTGGAAGCACCTGACCGGGGCTGTACTCCATGGAGAGCATCGGCACTCCTGGGCCCGCAGCCTCACAAAACGTCTGGGAACCCTGAGGGCAGCGGGGGAACTGCTCCAGCTACCTCCAGCCCACGGCCCCTGCTGCAGCCCAGGGAAGGTGTTTCTGCCATGTCACAGCAGTGAAGAACGAGATCTGCTCTTCAGGAGCAAGGCAAACACGCTCCTCTGTCCTAGAGGGCTCCCTGGTGTCACAGGCTGTCCTGGCACTGTACAGGCTTGCTACTAAATGATTGAAGCACGCTCGTGATACAGTTGGAGCTGCTTTCCCTCTTGTCTCAGCATCCTCTGCCTCTCTCACCCCCCCCTCCTTCATCCACTTGGGGGTTTAGCAACTGCCGCCTGGGCCAGCGATGGTCCTGACCCACCCTCGGACAACCCGGGGTGCGCTGATAACAGGAGGCAGGAGGATCATCCTGGGTTATAGGTGAAACCACTCCCTGTTCTGTGGGTGAGGACCATGAAGAATAACCTTTACGCTGGCGAGGCCCCCAGGAGCACCGAGCCAGCCCCAGGGCACCGTGGCAAAGGGAACACGTACATTTGGATCTTCATCAGCAGCATGTAGGTGTCCTTCAGGATCTCCACTTGGTAGGGGTTCAACAGGATCTGTCTGATCAGGTGGGAGATGATTTCTTTGGGGGGACAGTGCTGGCGGGAGACGAAGTCACTCAGGAAATGCAAGGTGCCCTCCAGGAAGTTCTCCTCCATGGTGGTGCGCACCATGCTCAGCTTCCCGCTGGGGATGAGCTCAGGTTTCCGCTGCGTGCAAGACAAGGGAATGGGTGAAAGCCGGCTCCCCCCAACACAGAGGAACCCAGCTGTGATGTGGGGCCCACTGTGAAGGCAACTGCAATAACCAGAGACCCCAACTGCCTGGAAAAGCTTCCCCCAAAAGGGGATGCTCCATCCTCTACCGCAAGAGATGCTCTGAGCAGGCTCCACCTGGGCTTGGCAGCGGCTGCTCTGAACCCCATTTACCTGCTGTGTTTCCCTGTTGGGTGCTACGCCTTGGAGGAAGAGGTGCTGGACTCCGCTCCTCCTGAAATAGTGCAGTTTGTTCAGCCAGGCCTTGCTGTCAGCCTTCGTCCTGGCTGGGGTCACTTGCTGGATTGCTTCGTGTGGCGGTAAGTCACTGGCTTCCAGCAAAGGCCCTCGGGCTTTCCCTGGGGTTGTGGGGATGCCTGGGGCAGGGCTCAGCCTCGGGGGCAGCTCCCTTTGCTGGCAGAGGTGGGGAGTCGCGTCCTCCGGGCTGCCGGCTCTGCAGCTGCTGCTGCTGCTGCTGTCTGGGCTGGAGGGGGACAGGGACAGCAGGTCTGAGTCCAGCTGCATGCTGGCCAGGGAGCCCAAGTCACTGTTAAAAGTGGTGGTGCTGCAGTTCTGCTCCGGGCTGCAGGAGGAGCCGTGGTGGCTGGAGGCAGGAGAGAAGCAGCTCCAGTTCTCCGCACTTTCTGCTGTGTCCGTGGTGGCACCCGGCTCCGCGGAAGAGCCGTGCCAGGGTACTGCAGAGCTCGGCCCTGCTGTTGCCTCCGTTTCTTGCTTCATGGTGGCGCAGAGCCAGGGATGGGACGTGTGGGCTGCCGGGGCAGCAGGCGCCTGCCCGGGGTCCTGGTCAGCCCAGCTGGCGGCGTGGGGAGGGCTGCAGGGAGGGCTGCAGGTGTCCTCCGTCAGGTCGATGATGGTGAGGCTGCTCCACGGCGCCGGGTCCGTGCTCGTATCCTCACAGGTCAGATCGATGATCTCCTGCGGGGACAGAGGGGCCAGCGCTGTCAGCGACAAGGGGCAAGGGGAGCGCAGTGCGCGCTCCTGTCCCCCGTCCCCAGCGGCTCCTGCCCGGCACTGGCAGGAGCAGCGCAGGATCCGAACCTTGGCACCCCCCCTGCGGCACGATGTCGGCCGCTACGCGGACGCGAGCGTCAGGGAAGAGAGCTACCTTCACATCCATGGCACCAAGCCAGAGCTACAGCAGCCCCGAGGCTTTGGGGACTCCCATCCAGGACTCGCCGGGTGATGCAGCACCCAGAGCTCCAAGGGCGCGCCTGTCCGGGGGCGGCAGGAGCAGGCAGGGGAAGGCAGCTATGGCCGCACCACTGGCAGGCAGGACACGGCGCTTCTCAGGATCTCGACGTGCCCGGGAGGGCTCAGAGCCTGTTTGCTCTCGGAAAAAAATCCGCCCTCAGCGTCTCAAAGCAGGAACACATTCTGTGGACGATTTAAATCCATTTTTTCCCCCTGACTCAGACCTGCTGCCTTTCCCAAGGAGGGGCCGCGTGTAGCCTGGGGAGGTGGCAAAACCCAGCAGGCCTCGCGTGCTCGGGGAAGCCGGCGGAGCCGAGGAGGGCCGGGGGCTGAGCCGAGGAGGGCCGGGGGCTGCCCCGGGCTCCAGCCGGCCCCGCTGCACCGGACGCCACGGAACCGTCGGCGTTCGAAAGCTGCATCAGAACCGGGGCCAACGGTGCCCGGGGTGGGGGGGTTGCACAGACCCTTTCCCCCTGCCCGGGGCCGTGCCTTGCTGGTGGCCTCGTGCCCTGAACTGCCGCCGCACTGGCCCCATCGTCCCCCGGTCCGCGGGGTGGCCCAGGTGAGGCGGACGGTGGCCACCGCACCGTGGCCCAGGGCTGGATGCCCCCCGGGGGGCTCTACCCAGCCCGGGGGCTGAGCCCCGGTGGGCTGGGACCC